AGGAACATTTTGTATTCTAATCCTGTCCTCTAAGGTACTCACAATTCGTCCTAGCTCCATACCACTTGCAAAGTTAATAAGCACATTCCTGTTGCATATATTGGCTATTAAAAAAAAAAGATTTTCCTGACCTAACTATTCCTATGAATGTTGCTGTTTTTTTCTTTAATTGCTGGAACTTCACTAATTATAAAAAAGCTACTAAACAGGATTTATAGTGGGTTGCTTACTGGTCTAGAATTACAGAAATCCTGGTCTACAAGTTCAGATTTTACATCAAGTTTTCATAAATCCTGTATAACAGATTCTTAAATGGGGTAACATTTAAGTTCCATTTTCCTTCTAATGTCTTTACTTGAGATATTCAAAATTTAAATTGGTTTGAGCAGAATCCTCTTCTTTTCCAGTTTCCAAATGGACATCCGTTTCTTTGCATGGAAACTAAGTATAATAACTCCTACCCTCCACAAAGAAGCATTTTAAGGATTTGCAGTATTGCAGTTTCAGCAGAGACTTTGCTATTAAATGTAATATTGTACAGGAGTGATAACTGTTACTAGACAACACTGTAAAAATTCTCCCTGCATTTTGCTGATTACTCTTTCCAAAACAACAGGCTATCCATGAGTTATGATCCACTTCTCTGAGCGAATGCTGCTATTTGTTTTAGAAATCTACATCTATTTAAAACAAGTCTTAGCTCAGTTTGATTTACTGAGCATTTAAGCCCCAAAGGATGCATAGTCAATGCATTCCATTAAAGAACAGATACACAAATCGACTGACAATGGCCAGAATCTGCTTATTGCTTGTTACATTTACAGCACAGGTCTGGGCATTTGGGCCTTTGGTTTCTGCCACTGACAGTGTGTGACTGTCAGTAAATTATTTAACCTTTCTGTACTCAAGTTCCCTTGGCTGGGCATTTTACCAGCCTCAGAGGGGTATTACAAGATTGAACTAAGAACTGGCCTTTTGAGTTCCTCAGATAAAAAGTGTTGTCTAAGTGCCAAGCAGTACAGAAAATCTAGAGGGACTGTGCTGACATTTAGGATGTGGTTCTCATTTTCCTTACTGTCGAGCTTCACTAACCTCAACAGTTATTTCTGCTATTCATTTGCAGTCAAGAATCACACTCTTTATATTTTAAGGGGCAAGGGAGAATTGTTCTTCCAACAGGTCCATTCTGTTAGGGGGTAAAAAATGGGAAAGCCTTTTCTATTTGGCTTCCCAGTGAGGAAGAAGCACTTGTAACAAAGTATATGCATATTCCAAACATATTACTGTTTCATTTAAGAACTAATATACATCTTGGAGCAGAGATGGGTCAGCAGGGTCAAGGGCAGGCCCTTCATTTTGAATACCAATACCGTTATTTCCCTGCATTACCTTGGGCATAGGAATTACCTGCTGACACATAAATGTTGAGGGCAAATTTAACTATGCTTTGGTATGGCTCCTTTTTTTCTGCAGGGCTTTGTGAGCAGAAGTGAACAGCATGGCAGGCTGCTTTCCTTCACAGCTCCATACCCTCAGAAACTTTTGGATAAATTTATATTACTTTTATTTTTAGATTGTTTTATTATTCTTGTGGTTCCACAGTTTTTTAAAAAATAGGGGAAAAAAACAGAAAAATGTGAAACTTCAGGTTTTATTGGACTTCAGATCATCAAGTGGAAAATCAGAAAATACTTGAATGTTAACATAATCACTGATTTCGACAATGGTTTGTTCTTCTCAAACACTTCTCTAATCAGCTCAAGACACAAAGCTTTTCACTCTTTGTTGTCCCTCAAATCAGTTAACACTTTTTAGCATTTTTTTCAGCCATACATCTTTAAGCTATTGTGTTTCTACCTCACATATCATCAAGCAAATATTGTTGTCTATATCCAACTAGATCATAAGTAACTTAACTTCTTTATAAATGTGTGTGATCCTGAACGTCATTGGAATTCAGAAACAGGAATAGCAACAACACGGCTTCTTATGCACCAGATACGAAAGAAGCTGAGGGAGGGAAAGTAGACAAATGTTTCCACCGATTAAAGAGGAATTTTTCAATAACTTACACTCAGTTTAGCAGTAATGATTTGTGTGTGTTATTTGCTCCACACTGGTGCCATTTCCTGTAGCTATTGAAATGTGTGATTGATTGGATCAAGGCTAATAATATGCTCATTTATATAAGCATACACTCAGTGCTGTTCAGTGGTTCATTTTTAAATGGTTATGAGTTAAACCAGGAGATTTTTAGAGACAATGAGATATATGACTTGCCTAAAGAATGCAGTCCTTCCAAAAGAGTTGATCAAAAATAAATTAATTTCTTTTGTTTACAGTGAGTTCTAAACAAAGATATCGAATAAGTTAATTTTAGGAGCTGACATTCAGATACTCAGAGTCATTATCGTTGACAAACAGCTAAAACATAATAAGTTTGAATTATAAAATAGTGAAGAGTTTCTTTTCCTCTCCACAGCTCCAAATCACATTTTTTTCTCCCTGATATCATGTACCATTTAGCAACTTGTAAAATAACTACAGTATCCTTAAGGAATGCGAATATTGTACACAACAGATAATAATCATGATTTTTACCACTGACAGGATTCTCTATCCAAATTTTTTATGACTGAGATAGAATCTATGCATTTTTTAAACTGTTTGCATTTTCTACCTGCTTACCACTTAGTTCTATGTGTTTCTGTGTTAAATTACACTACGTCTGATTTTTTTTTTTTAACACAGTACTTGCCACAAAAAAATCAAAGTATTCTTACTTCTAGTGGAAACTCTTCTTACTTCATGTGAATATACACTAGTAAATTGAACTATTGAAGTAATCTCTATGTCCCTGTGGATTGTAAGATTACCAGACAGAAAAAAATGTATTAACTCATCCCAGCCTCATTTTTTTTTAACCTCAGCCTTCAAAAGCATTTCTCATCTCAAAAACTTCTAATAAATGCAGGTAACAACCTTGCTTCAAATTAACTTACAGGGAGTCCTGGTTGAAAAGTCTGACTCATTTATATCATATGGAGATACCATCAGTGACTTGATTAGTTTTTGATAAACCTTTTTAGGATTTAGAAAAGATGAGCTGGGTGACACAAAGGGAAAGCAGTCGAGTTAAACAGCAGCTCAAATAGGGGAACTATAACAGCCAGTATTAGAGGAGACTGACTGCGCAGGCTGTGGAAAGGGCTTATGAAACTGCATCCACTGCACTGATTCTCCCATTCACTGAGCTGTGATTAACACGGTTCCATATGAAGCTGGGGAAAAAACAAGATTTAGTAATATCTTCAAAACATATTGTTCTGAAGGAAAAATAGTCCAGTTTGGCTGGTGGGTCTAGGGTAGGTGCCAACTCAGCTAAATCATGAGCTTTCAAGCACTCCTGGGAAAGAATGTGGAAAGTCCCCTGATTTTATACAGTGTGTTAAAATAGTTCTTTTGTTTGCATCATGTTAAGATTGAATAAGATACCATCTGTGCTGAGTTTTACATCTTATAACAGGAATAATGACCATAATTGGTCTGTTATCAGCTACTTCTACTAATAAAAGAGATAGAAAGATGGGTACCACAGCAAAGCAGGCCCCTTTGTGGCTCTTGCCTGCAAAGGTTAAAAAAACACAGGAATTTGCATAGATTGGAGGCAAGAAGCAATGGTCTCTAAGAATTAGTTAAAAATAAAAAGAATTAGGAAGACTTTGAGAATAGTAACACAGTTGGGGCTTGTTTTCCATGGTAAAAAAGGCACAAGGAATCACAGATTATGTACCTATGAGTCAATTAAATGTACCCAGAATTGGCTCTGAGGCCAAATGGCATGAAAGAGCCTGTCCATGCTGTTAAATTCTCTCACTCTCCAAATCAGGGTGTCTATGTTGGAACTGCAATTGGGAGTGCTCCCTGGCCAGTGTCAACTTCTAAATTGGGCCCAGGACTTTTTCAAGATGGGCTTTCAGCCTTGGGCCAAAACTGTGCCCAGAAACATTATAAGTTAGCAGTGTGGACGACTGAGACACGGTGTCTGAGACTGTTCCTGGCCCTGCTTCATTTATCGCTGTAGATGTAGTCTCTGCATTTAGGTATCTCTCTTCTTATGTGTCTCCGATGTGTGACACTTGAACCCCACCAATTTAAAATTTGATGTAGAGATAGAAAGATTGACCACATCAGGTGCTACAGGGATGTCAATGAAAACAGGTACCATAGCATTTAAGTGAGACAAAACTCATGGTGTGAGTTACGCCTCGCATACATCCTAACATACTCTTTTTCTCTGTCTGTCTAATTTGGGCTTTTTCATTATTACTGGCTGAGCTGCTAGGACTGTTCATGAGCATATATTGGTCATTCAGAAGGTTCTTTCCCAAATGCCAGGAAAAAAAAAGTGAAAATCATACTCTCGGTGTACGTCTTCACCACCCCCCAAAAAATCGTTACTACAAACATCTCACCCAGATTCCGGTTTTGAGTTCCTTGAGTACTTGGAAACTGAGTTCACAAAGCTATAGCTTAGCCTGCTTATCAGTAGAAATCATGATGAGACAGCACTGTTGTTGTAGGTTGACCTTGGTCGGATTCTAGGCACCCACTAAAGTCGCTCTGAGCTGTGAGAGGTCACACAGGTAAAACAGACTTAACGTAGGGTTAATACTAAAATATATTACTAACAGGATAAGACCTAGAGAGTGAGAAATAAAACAGTCCTAAACACACTTTCCACCCACCCCTCCTTCCTTCCATGTTCTCCCTCCTCAACCCCACAGCAGTGCAGGGGGACAAGTCCACCCCTTGGGCAACAGGTCTTCCAAATCTGCTGTCCCGTAGGTCACTCTTCCATGGGCTGCAGGGGTACAACCTGCTCCACCATGGTCCTCACCACAGGTTACGGGGTGGCCACAGCTCTGAGTCCTTCCCCTGCTCCGTGGGGTCCCTCTCATGGGTAACAGTCCTTGATGGACCCCTCCAGCATGGGCCCCACCTTAGGCAGTAGTTCTTCCATATCTACTGTCCCTAGGGTCACTTCTCCATGGAGTGCAGGGGGGGTCTCTGCACTGCAGTCCTTCATAGGGTGAGCTGTACTGATGTGGATCCCCCACAGGGCCGTGAGTCCTACCCAGGAATAACGTGCTCTGGCATGGATTTTCCTCTCCACGGGCCACAAGTCTCTTAAAGGGCTCCACTCCATCCTGGGCCTTCCATGGGGGAAACGGCCTTCTTTCATGCATCCATCTGCTCCAACTGGGGCTCGGCTGCACTGCAGCAGGTCACCCTGGCCCCGGCCCAGCTTGACTCGGCCAGGGGGGTAAGGGAGGGTAGTGCCTGCCAGCAGGGGCCACTCTGCTGCCCTGACCTAGCCCACGGGGCACCCCTCCCCACTCCTCACAGTTCACCTTGGGGGCTTTGGCGCTGTCGGTGCTGTTCGGCTTCTCGGGCAGGATGGGCTCCAGCACGGGCTGCTCGCGAGGTGGGCCCATGGGGTCTGCAGGGCCACCCTCCGTGGGGCCGCACACTCTGGCACCAGCCCTGGCACCAGCCACCCCTTCGCAGGGGCCACAGCTCGGCTTGGCTGGCACCACCGAGAGCAGCACAGGTGGCTCGGTCAGGATGCCGCTGCCTGCTCCGGGCTAGGTATCGAGAGGCCCGGGCCAGGCCGCCGCTGCCCCTCCACCGTCTACCGCAGCGGTGGAGGCAGTGGGCCCACCCGGGAGCTCAGTCAGCTCTCCCCTGGCTCAAAAAATTCTTCTGTGCAACAAACTTGTTCTTAAATATGTTATCACAGAGGCTTAATTATTGGCTCTCCTTGGTGCTGGTGGGTAGGTGATGCCAGAGCTGTGAATATTGCAGGGAAGTGGAGGGCTGCCCCAACACAATGTCCTGCCTCTTCTATGGGAAACCTGAACAGCAAAAAAGAAGTGCATTGTTCAAGAGACAAATGTATGTTCTGTGCCAATGCAGACAGGAGTCTTTCTGCTGTAGGTAATTACATGTAATTCCAAGACTACAGCACTGTCTGATTCGTCTCAGTTCTGAATCCTTATACTTCTACTGGTACTCTTTTCCAGATGGGAGACGGAGGAACAGGAAGCCCAAGATTTGTCTAAGTAGTATGGACCATCTGTACCTAAACAGGAAATGAACTGGGTCACCAGAGCTCCAGAAAAAGGTTGTCATCATAGGGTCATCTATTTTCACCATGCTACAATGCTTCTTGTGAAATAAAATGCCTTTTGCTGCTCCCCTGGGAATCCAATTCTGTGTACTGAATAAATAAAACAGCGAAAGCAGGAACAGAAATAATTTTCTCTCTCTTTTCAGAGTCTGCAGGCTAATTTATTCTGTGTTCGTATTCCACCTTTCTTTATCTACCTTCCACATTTTCTGTATTTTCATCCATGTTTAAAACATGCTGTCTGTTTCACATGTCATTCTTTCTTAACAACATAATACTTGACATAATCTGCCCTCTGGATCCTTTCTGTGGTGTAATTATGTTATCTTTGTTGTTATTGATTTCTGTTGCTAGGGGATGGGGTCATGCCACTGCTGGCCGGTTCTTCTTTGCAGCTTAGCTGTATACTTTTAACTCTTAAAGATTTTTCTCCTGAGAACACTGAGTGCCAAGTTTTGAAGTCATAAAAAATGCCAGCAATCCCAGAGGATGATTTTGTCTGAAGAAAGATTGCAAGATTCAATTATGAAATAGGAGAACAAATAGCAATTGAGAGAAATTCTGATCTTAGCTCTTCCTTTCTGGGAGTAGAGTTTGGCCAATGAACTTTGATTTATTTCTTCAGCCCTGCAATATTATTTTTCAACAGTTTGAATGTTTCCAAGTCAAAGTATTATAGGATTTCTTTATCAGTTGAACACTTCCAACCAAATATTTTTTTTTCAAAGGGGCATGTCCTTTTGAAATACATAAACTACTTTTGCTGTTCTCTGAGTTTCTGCTTTTTTATTGCATTACATTCTTTTTTCCTTGCAGAGCAGAAATTTGGTTCCACAAAATTAAGGGACTGATGCAGAACTGTTAAGATTTGTATAATATTTGACAAAAAAAAAGGTGAAATAGCTGAGGGAGGCTTTTTAAAACAAAATCATTTCTTTCAACATAAACTGAGATTTGTTTCTATCTAGTTGGTTGATTGGTTTCTTAAGGCAACTTGAGACTGTTATGTGCTGTGCTCCTGGGTGAGATTTTCATAAACTCTTGGGGTAAAATCTGTGGCTTCAGACTTCCCACTTAATCTCTTACAGTCTTACTTCAGCATTTCCCTAAGTAGTTTGACTTCTTCCTGCCTGTCTGAGAGCCTGCTCAAGGATTTTGGAAGTTGGAAGCTCAGCTACTGTGGCCTACAGATTGTTTGCCTATCTGTGAGGTGCCAGATGGGTGCAGACAGGCTATGCCAAACCCTTGTACTTGGTCTGCTTCAGCCTGTTCTGGGCTTTGCAGCTGGCTAAACTGCTGAGCCCCAGCTGATGTGCTCTGTGGTTGGAAAGAGCTGCCATAACATCATGGCAGGCTCTGTGGAGCTCTAAAATGGTTCACCTGACATCTTCAGATAATTGTGACATATAATAGCAGACTATTTTAAAGGGTTTTTAGCACACTATTTTACCATATCTTGTCTATTGTTTTCTTTTCTTGTACGAGGCTGCCAGTCTTCACCCAGTATTCAGTAATTTTAACACCTAAGATTCTGTAATTAAACACAACTGATTTGATATGTGGCAGAAGGAAGAAGACCCTTTTCCAAACCCTTTCTTTCTGTTTGTCCTTGAAATTTGGATATTACAGATGTGTCTCTTGGAGAGAGTCTCAGAATTGTGTTCCCTTGTACACAATAAATACCCACCTTGTAATGAATCTGGCATCAGAATCTGTAGTTATATTTAGGTCTGTATCTGTGTTTCTGGCTTGAGCAGGGAAACATTTATCTCTTCCCTTTACCTAAGATCACTTTTCTTGTAAGAAATACCATTGTGCTTTCTGTATTAGTATGCCTTTCAGACTGCTCTTCTCACTTTGGTGATGAATATGTAGGTGAAAATAGCAAATATATCTGCCATCAAATTGCCTACAGGAAAGGGGGAGTAGTCTCAGAAAGTGACTTTTGAACTTTTAAACCCAAAGAGTTTTCACCAGATGCTTTTTCTTATTCCAACATAGCCTGAAATATATCCTAAGCTGAATGTTCTTGTGCTAAGGCAAAATGCACTACTTACAGCTTACGTGGTTCTTGAAGGAATCATGAGCATTGTGTCATTCAGTGCAGTCCTACTCTGCACATACACTCACACATATACACATACTGCTTTCCTGTAAGGAGACACTGGTTTCTGCAACAAGTCACAGCATGACCCTGGTTTGAAAGCTGGATAACCATGGGTACATATAGGATAAGTGTATGAACACCATCACCTCGTTGCTGGCAACCTGTAAACAGCAAGAAGCCAAATACACATACTTTTTTTGCCTCTGTGAACTTTGCTTTTCCCAAGTCCTTTCCGTCTGTCTGCCTTAGGTGTTGTAGACCTCATGTTCAATGAAACAGCCAACAAGAGAGGTCATATGTTCTAGATGCATGTCCTTTTCCAGGTGCTTGTTACACGCACTAGAAGCAAACTATTACTGAGAAAATGATTTATGAAGAAATATCCTAGGAACATGACACAAAACAATTGGTGGGCAATTTTTATGTGAGCAAAAATATAATGTTGTCAAATACTCATGAGAGGAACAGGGGAAAGGATTAATGTCTGCAGAGGGCTCTGCCTTTTTCAAATGCAAACAGTTGCATAGTAAATAGCACTTTTTTTAAACCTCATAAGGTTAAAGTCTTACTTTCTGTTAGAAGATCCCTGTGGTAATGCCAGCCACCCTTTACGAGCTCTGTAGGAACAACATATTTAGTTACAGCTGTCAGAGACAGATTCTTTTCTGCCTGCTCCTTCTCCTGCTGGCAGAGTTCCCAGACTGGACCCATTTGGCTGTCAACTTGTTCACCTGCATCAGCCAAGAGTGTGCAAAGGCATCCCAGAGCACTTGACTCCAATCTTCCACAAGGTGAGAATAGCTCCATGACAGACACTCTCAGCACGCAGTCTCTCAGCACCAGGGATTGCGAGTGTGAGATTCCCCTTCACACTATGTGGAGTCATACACAGTTCCTGACACAACGTGCAATGAGGATGCCCTCCAGCTGCCTGATTAGTACTGGAGCCAGCCAAATCATTGAGCACTTACCTCAGCAATTTCTGTTCCTTATGAGCTTAATCCTAAGTAACTGAACATTATTTTTCTACATATAATATAATAAATGCTAACAAGTGATGTGCATGGGAGAAAATGGGGTGAAGCAGAACTATTTGCATATTTGTACAATATTGATTTAATCTGCTTAAATTGTTCTCTTATTTAGAAAGATCTTGTTTGGTTCAGATCAACCTGACAATATAAATATAAATCTGCTCATCTATGCTGTAATCCAAGTCTTCATTCAAGCCCCTTGAAGCAGAATTTACACCCTGAGCAGTCTTGGTTGTATATCCATTACCTTTTACACCTTAATTTACATTCATAGTTTATCCAGCAATAAGGAAGTTTTTTAATATAAAATCTACATCCTTGGGTAATCCACTAAAAACACTTATTTACAGCTAGAGCAACACAGAAAGGGATTACTAATAGCTTTCCTTTCCGTACTACTGCTGCAGGCAGAAAAACAATTGAATTAAATTTGGCTTTATGTGCTGTCTAATCAGATGATTCCAGGATTACTGACTCTCTTTGGCTGTTATGGCTGTGAATACAAAGAACTGGTCAGTTTTGCAGTGTTGCATTTGTACTCCTGCCATTGAATTCATTCAAGGCATGGTTTGTGAGGTGGTAAGAATAGAATTGGAAAGGTTTGGGAGTCAAGGGAAGAACGTTGGACAGCTGGGGTTGATTTGGATTGGTACAATTCCATTGGGTCAATAAGATTATCTGAGTGATGATTCAATACAAAATTTGGCCATAACACTTAGATTCAAGAAAAACGGTGTCCCCAGTTCTATGGAGACTAAGAGGGTCACATATTGGGGTTTTTTGTACATTATCATTCTTTTTTTTGATGGCTTTTTGAGGGGGGGGAACTGTTGGCATGGTATTATGTGTTTGTAGAACCAGTCTGTTTTGTACAGGTTCTATACCCATGGGAAAAAGCAGTCATTTCTTTTACTGTAATTGCATGGCTTGCATGGTGTACAACAGTTTCAATGACAGCTTTGCAAATGCAGTCTTGGACTTTCTGAACCAGGTATGGAATTTACTGAGGAAGGTGGTATAGGCATTTGGATTACATCCTTGAGCTATTGCTTTGCAGAATGTATTTCCAGTCTGATCTGGAATCCTGTGGTGTGCTCAGCATCGTAGAAGAGATACATGCATACAGCCTTGTGCTTCACAGTGATTTTGAAGAGAGGGGAATATGTCAAAACTGTAAATGGCTTTATTTTAACCTTCTCAGCCACCCAGCTGCAACTGTCCAGCCTCCAGTTCTCATTTCCATGGGGTTTTATTAGTTCTGTTGTAGAATCCTGATTCTACGAATACTGGAGTCCTCCTGCCTGAGCTGGCAATGGCCAGTGCTAAGGGGTAGTTTTCCTTTCTTTCTCTGTACTCTTTTGAGCATTTGGGGTTACACAGAAGGCACTGAGCTAGTCATCAAAGACCTAGTCTTCAAGCCCTTCCTTAATTTCTGCTCATTACTGACTCAAGCAAGGATCAGTTGACTTCCTTGAGTTCAGCCTCAGCAAAAAAAAACAAATTAAGGACTTGGCCTCATGTCTGATGTCATACTCCATTTCCTTTCACGTTAACTGTCCATTTTTCAGGTAGTGAAACTGCAGTAGAGAAGGTGGAGAGGACTTGTTTTGAACATGGATTCTTCAAGTTATCAAGCATTGCCGGTGTGCTTTTTTCCACAAGACAAAGTAGATGTGGGTTCTTGAGAGAGCTGTGAGAAAATGACAATCGTGTCACTAGCATGTAAGAACCCAGTGGGGAAATTGGTACTAGTTTCTTTGAATACACGGAATATAGGCAGTTATTTGAACAAGTGATTACTCATAAAAACTCTGCAGTCCTCTTTAGAGCTCTTTATCTTATCTGCTGCAGGTCATGATGGCATTTCCTGGCTCAAAGAGGACCCCAAAATGCCACAGGATAAGATAAGTGCTGTTTCCTGCCCTGGCACGCCCAACACTGCCTGCCATGCCCTCAAGGGCAAGCAAACT